TCAAGTCGTTACGTCGTACAAGTTAAACATGAAAACGAGTAATCTCTCTTTGACACATTTGGACATGTATTTCTGCCCCGATAAAACGCCAAAGGAATTTCAGACGGCAAAAATGACCTCACGTTACCTGTAGCGGACGCCGCCATTTTTGTTCGCCGAGACCACCCGGAGTTGCTAGGGGTGGGCGTGGTTACGGTTGCTAAGTGTAGGCGTGGCTAGCGCCTGATGTTAAAAGTTGGCGTGGCTAATGCTCTTTGCACCTGGCAACTTGCTCGCTGAACTTCAACCGTTTGACATTGCGTTACTACCGAGCAATGCATGTTTCAAAATATTTAAAACATTCGGGTGTGGACGGGCGGTTTGGCCACCGGTTGGCTGGTAGTTGGCTGGTATTTGGGAATGGGTCGAGGCGTGGTTAGCAGCCAAATTTTACTTGGATCTAACTAGAATTCGATTCAATTCGTATAGAAAAGTAGCGCGGTCTAAATCTGGTCAGACTGCTCCCGAACGTCAGCCAACCTTGGTCGACTGGTGTTCGGAGGTTAACTCCAAGCAGATCTTTCGGTGGGGGTAAGACAGTATGAAATTACAGTTTCCCTCTGAAATGTCTTACTCTTCAGGCCATAGATTGAATATGGTTCATGGTAACTTAGGCATTGCACAGAGTTTGGCAGGTTTGATGCTACAATATGACAAAATCATTACGTGTATGTGTATATTTTGTATGTTTTGTATATATTTTGTCACTTGCACTTGGTTATCAATAAAGTTTTTAAAAAATAAAAAATCGCAAATTAAAAATCGCAAATTAAAAATCGCAAATTAAAAATTAAAAATCGCAAATTAAAAATTAAAAATTAAAAATTAACAGCCTGTGTCCATTTCCCCACCAGTGGAGATTATTCGGGGGAAGGTTCTGCACGTGTGACAGGGGCTTGACCTCTGTCCGTGCGGCTACCCTGGCGTCCATGTTGTTGAACTGGTACTTCCATCCTGTTGACATTGGACGTTGACTGACATGCCCAGCCTGTATACCTGGTGCGTGGATACCGAAGTCTCTCAGCGAGGTTCGTGTCGCCTTTCTTCACCGTCAGTCTTTTGCTTCACGGTTTCAAGTGCTAACCTTTGTTTTTAAAAGTTCAACAATGTAAGAGGTATTTATGCACGTGAGTCATACTAGACCAGTCTATTTGAAATTAAATACGGTCGTTTGCTAAGGGATCTCATGAAAGTCCTTTTAGTCCGTTCCTATGTGTAGAGTTATTAGAGTGTTATACCCGAAATCTACCTCTGTTAACGCATTTGAATGAGTCAACATTATAATTGTATATTCTTATTGTATATTGTCTAGATACTAGGCTACATAGCTGATAGTCGGGCAGTCCTGGCTCTATATAATTTCATACAACCTCATAAATAAAATCTATAATGTTTAATATAATATTTTTCAATTGTTGCGATGAAAACAGTATTATAAGTAAAAAAGAACTGGCGCTATGAAACAATCTGGTATTACAATTCGTTACCCCTGGTTTACACCTGTAAGGAAGTGCGTGCCCTGTTTTATTTGTACAGCCAGACAGGCTCTACCGGTGTCCGAGTTACCTTAGAAACCCTGCAAAAAATGACGTCAACTTTCCACAAAATCAGATAACTTCGAATGTTGAAGTTTAAAGTGAACGCAGTAGCTATGATGGGAAGGTTAGCGCTACTACGGCGATCTGTAAGACTGGGCCTCGCCTGTTCTTTCATGTTTACAGGCCTCGTCGTCTATCAGCTCTATCTCAAACATTCTAGGATAGCCAGGCCCAAAATGGAGCGGGGTAGTACTGTGCGTGGTGGTGAACTTGGAACATTCGCGAGAGAAGGAAACTATGAGGGAAAAAGTGGTGAAACTTTGAGTGATCAGGTGCGTTACGATATATACGATCTCTTGGCAAAGATTGACAGAATGTCACATGTACTTAAAAGCTATCGGGAGAAAAACAGTGACTCTGTGACTAGCGGACTTACCAAACAAAACGCAAACTTCGGAACTAGACATAGTAAAGAATTTGGACCCAGGACTGAGCAGACTATGCTAAGAGGTACCAAAACATCTAACGCTACTAAATACTTTTTCTTGAGGAACACTTTCAAAAAGAAGCAGAACCAAATAGAAGACCAAAAACCATTAGACGACCACGCTATAAGACCATATCTACGGGCAGCGCCAAAGGTACAAAACACAACGGCCTTTTTAGACAAAGAGGAACAAAATTCACGGAAACAAACGGTGATTCCACCGGACTCGTGGTTCTTATCTTCAGTTCATGTCAAGCCGCCTTCTGATCCAGACCACCACGCTACCAGAACAGCTCTACGGGCAGGACCCAAGGTACAATATCGTCGAACGGCCGTTTTAGATAAGGAAGGACAAAGTACACGGAAACAAACAGCCATACTACCAGGCTCGCGGTTTCTACCTACAGTTCATATGAAGCCGCGTTCTAGTTCAGAAAACCACGCTATCAGAACAGCTATGCGAGCAGCGCCAAAGGTACAAACTAAAACGGCCTTTTTAGACAAAGAAGAACAAAATACACGGAAACAAGCAGTCATACTACGAGGCACGCGGTTCCTGCCTACAGTTCATGTCAAGCCGCCTTCTGATTCAGACCACCACACTACAAGAGAATCTCTACGAGCAGGGCCCAAGGTACAAGACACAACGGCCTTTTTAGACAAAGGAGAACAAAGTGCAAAACAACGAACACAACTGGGCTCAAGCTTCCTACCCACAGTTCATATCAAGCCGCCTCCTGATCCTAACTCTCCCGGAGAAAACGGTACCGCAGTTCGCCTCACAAACCTGACAGACGCCGAGGAAAGTCTGAGGAAAGAACTGTTGGAGAAATACGGACTGGACGAGTTCGTCAGCCGACAGATCTCCCTACATAGGACACTACCGTATTCACGCCCCGAGAGGTAAGGAAATACACATAGAAAAACTTAATTGCACGACAATGCACATGCTATGGTACAATTTATGGCAAAGTACAAAAAAATTATTGAATAAGACCTAATATGAAATAAAAAATATATATGATCTTGCAAATGTTACATGTAATGAAAATATTGATGATGAATTTTATTTAGTAATGGCTTGTCCTACTTATAGTTAAGAGACAGATACACTGCTACAGACTACTAAGGCAAACTTTACCATATCTGGTTCAAAGAACGATAGTCATCCCAACAGCCCACACACTAGTTGTAACGCATATATTGTTATCGATAATATTTGTAGTTACAATATTTTTGGATGGATTAGTTTTGTAGTATAAATTGTTGATTTTCTGCCATACATTGTACTATATACGATTGTCGAACAACAAAGTCCATTCATCATTGTTATTTTGATACGCTATGAGTAAGTGCAGTGTTTGAAATACACACACTTTATTCTTGCCGCTAAAGGCATGCTTTCTGTGGGAGACGCAAGGTTGCCCGGTGGGCAATTTATCATTTTTGCCTACAAGGCTTCTGAAAAAAAATGTGTCCCACATGGACCTAGCCTGGGTGCTGTCTGATTTGTAACGGGGCTCAATGCACTTTATTTCGGGCCAGCGAGTGCAAGGAGCCCATTAAAAATCGGATTGCACCTAGGCTAGCCTCGGCCAGCATGTCTCTTTACAGCGATCTCTAAACAGGCGGCCTGCCATCTAAAATGAACAGGTCAATAATGTTATACCGTAACGTTCAAAACATTTTGTACCTCTCGTATGTTGTAATGTTCTTTGCATAGTTTTATCAACGTACTATGTGCTTACAAGGCATTGGTAATATAAATCATGTGTAATTTTATTTTAGACTTGTGTGTTCATTAAATTTAAATTCTTTGTTGTCAAGTTACTACGTAAAAAACTAATGATTAATTTTTATTCAAACATAGTAACTGAGGCAATCTGAAATATTGATAGGCAACATAGTGGGCAACCTAAGAAAAATAAGTATTCCGAACCCTGAAGACATGATAAATTTGTACATTTAATTAAGCAAACGGCCAGCATTTACTAGGCTAGGTAATCGTATAGTACTAAGGTGCCGCTATGGACTTTGCAAATTAGATATAGATATATAAAAGCATCGTGTATTGTTAATCTACCCTTAATCAAGCTGCATTGTCGAAAACTATGTGTCCGCGCGGGCGTTAACCTAGTCTCTACCAGACTAACTACGCTACTAACTGTTATAAGAGAATATTTGCCAGGGGAGTTTGGCCGCCTTGTAGGTTTGACTGGCCGCGCAGTGAAAGAAACTTCTTCCCCGCGGCCGGACTCCCTTGGCCCATTTTACTCTCCTTTTTGCCGAATTCTACGATCCATATTCCCGTAGAGAGGCCTGGTCACTAGTGTTAACCTTTCATGACGGACAGGATGCTGTAAATGATACACTTCTTTATCTTACTGTCAGGATAGCCTACATCAGGCTTCAGAAGCGGCTAGAAAGGGTAGAAATTGGCCAAATAGACAGATAACATGCCGGGGGAGTTTTTGCCGCTAAAAGACCTTCGACTAGCACGAAATATGTCGAGTATTTACAGCTTGAGCCCAAGTAGTGGTCCAACTCTCATGGCATCTTTAATATCTGTCTCTCTGGCCAATTTCTGCTCTTTCCAGTCGCTTCCCGAAGCCTGGTAGAGGCTAGTAGGTAGAGGATATTAATTGCCAGGATGTTATGGCGGTTACTTGACGTCACGCATGTAGGAAAGTGACCGCGCGGGCGATGACCTTTCACGGAAAGGATGTTACACACTGTTCACGATAAGTACGTGACGTCACGCATTTTCACAAGTGTCCACAGAGGTTTTTTTTTTTATATTCGTTTAACACAAGACGTGGTGACGACACACTCAAGTTCATTTAACTTATTTTATGTCGTGTAGATTGTAAAGTGTCTTTCCTAAGGGCACAAGATCGGTGGCATGGCAGGGTCCAATCTCTTTCTTGTCTTTTTTCCTTTGTTTATGTTTAAGTAATTTTTAAGTTACAAAAGAAAAAAGAAAATGCTTAAGAAAACTATTGACTCTCCTGTCTAGTTAAAGTTTTCTTCTTTTTTTTTAATTAAGTAGTTATACCCCGATTTAAAAACAGGATCCAAACTCGGGACACCTTGGTTCCTAGCCTCAGTAGCAGGCTTATAGAACTTGGGGTTTGGTGGTCTTAGGCTGTTTTCTGATTAGCCCAGTTCTAAAAACGGGGGTATTTCAACCAGGCCGGCTATGTTGTCTATATGCAATCAGAAAATAGCACATAAAAGCTCCCAAAGACCCTGAAGACCCCCATAACCCCTGTTTTTTGCATGCTATGGAGGTTATTGGTTCCGAGCCGAGCGCTTTGCCGTTACGCCACGCGACCCCAGAGACCCCCCGAGTTATAATTAACATTCAGTCTTTCCGTTCTACCTCTGAAAAATATTAGCCGGCTAGAATGTCCATGATTATGAATTTGTGAAATATATAAATCCTGCAGTACAAACGAAAGACGCTAGATGGGTTATAATAGAACCTGCCCTCTATATGCCACTGACACTTTCAACATTACAGTTTTATACGAACAAATCCCTCCGCAGCTTCTCGAGTTTTGATGTCCACTAACCAACCAAATCACACGCAAACGGCACCAAGATATAACCTTCCAGGCAAGAGTAATAAACAGCTTTATTGATTTGTTTTTACTAATGATGCAGTCACGGCTGCCCTACTAGCACAGGTGAACTTTCAGGCTAATGCGAAACAGGCGTTCCCAAGGCTTCCGACCAGGTTGTCTTAAATCTCTAACTTCGGACTGTAGAATTTAGACTATCGCACACCAGGGCATGCCCCTACTCTTTTTCAAAAGGTGTGCTGCTACTGCTACTACCAGTTGGTTCAGTAACGTGCGTGGGTGTGACTTCCCGAACACGGGACCTCCATTTAACGTCCTATCCGAGGGACGTCCCTAACCGAAGCTAGATCCGGATTTTTACCTGAGTGAATTAAAAAAAAACGTCGTGTAATAAGTGCCTCGCCAAGCGCACAGTATTGAGGCATGTTGGGGGATTTTAAACCCAAGACCTATGGGTTCTGGTCCAAACACCCAACCATTACGCCACACGATCCCATCATTACAAATATACACTACCGAAGAAAACTGTCGAAGTTTTTCCTATTTTGTATTATAATCCACCAGCATGCAAATGACATAGGATTGTCGTATAAACACGGAATAGTGACCCACATAGCAACGCGATATGGTGTAAAGTAGTCAATGACTAAGCGAATACGGGACAACCATTTTAATGGATAAAACGTTTACCCTATACGGAGGTGGATTACTTTGTTACAATATTTAGCGAAGTGCAAAGGTCTCCTTTGTGAAGAAAAGCAAACACTTGTGGTTGATACGATGGTATTAAAATTATAACTATCAACGTCGTGATCCCAGGTGCTGTATTGATCTGTAGAGTGCTAGAACATGACCCTCACCTGACATACCACACGGCGGCATGTGTCACAAACCCCTGTCACAAATTGGCCGTGTTTATGTAAAGTCACCCAAACCGCGATTCGGGTAACTCACATTCCTCACATCTGGTCCACGTGCCACACATTCCTTTGAAACCGTGTCCGATCACAATTCGCCTGAGCTACATTTATTGTTGTTTGATGAAAACACGCAAGGTAGCGGGTTATTAATGTTCTGAGGTCAACGACCTGCTTGCTCATGTCCCCCTCCCAGCGTATCTCGGCCGAATGCCGACGTGGTCCCACCAGAGGCGGTGAAGCTCGCCCTAGAATTGTTTGACCATTACCGCTCTTTAAGTTGCTGCCACGTTAAAGTTGGTATTGCATATAAATAAAGAAATATCACCCCGTAATCGATGACCAGGCGAAGTTACATTGAAATCACATTGCGTTCAGATGCAAATCGCGATGCGGAAAAAGCGATTCGAAACCACCTCTAGAGGTGGTTTGGGATCGATGCGCTTTCAATGTGATTTGGAGCGTTCAGATGGAGCCACTTGAAACCGGCTTCGGGGTAAACCACATGTAAAGCGCTTTCACTGACTTCACATAAACACGGTCAAATTCAGAACCCTTTCTCGATCACAAGTCGAGCAATATGAAACATGTTTGAACTGCAGTTTCCAACACAAGGCATTAGACTCAGCCAAATTTATGACTGTATAGTCTTTGTTAATAAATGAGCAATCCCTGACTTCCATGACGTCACGTAGATAACACACGTGACTCCGTGAGCAGTGGATCATAGGCTGCAGAAAGTCTGTGGCGCCCCCCGTCTCTGTTGACAAGTTGAAGACAAGTCGACCAAGTTAGTTGACGGGAGACTGTCTAGGTTTAGGGTGCGCCTACCTTTCTAGTACACAGTTAGAAAGTAGATCAGCAGTGCTTGTTCTGGGGTCAAACATTACTTAAATCCGATTAGATTCGTATAGAAATGTAGGCGTGGACTGCATCTGGTCAGACTGACCTAAACATCCAGCCTTGGTTGCCTGGTTTTCGGGGGGAAGTTTCTGAATGTGTGTCAGGGGTTTAGGGGGAGAGAACTTTATTGCACGACAATGGTAAGGTACAACGTATGGCAATAGTTACTGAACAAAGTACAAAAAGAAAAGGGTATAGAATGAAAATTAACAACCTCATTACTTTAACACCTAGAGATAATTGTATAGAATCAAGCACGGCTAATTATCAGTTTCGGCATTTACCTATTATGCCATTGTAAGGTGTGGGTAATGGTACCCTATGGGATGAGGAGCGTTGACGTTACATTTATCCGTCCAAGGTAGCTTTTCTCACCAATCACCTAGTGCTAAAAGTGTGCTTTCTATAATCACGTGACGTGAGCAATCGATCAAAAGTGCCTGGAAGTTTATATCGTCCACTATCTCTACTAGTGAAGGCTGAAGTGCTCTGATATATAAGGCCTCCTTAAAGCCTTAAAGCTTCTTGCTCACGTCAGTAAAGGCTTGTGTGGTCACGTGTTTGTAAACGTAACTCTCGCGAGATCACGTTGTGAAGTGATTGGTCATTAATTATCCTGATGAAGGCGACAGTGGTCGCTGAAAATGATCCCTGTACAATTGTGTGTTGGAATAAAGTTCAACGTTTTACTATGATTACTACCAACATAGATGAACTTTCATGATAATCTTGATCCATAGTTGCCAGAGACAGACGTTCCTGTCCAACCTGCCAACCGTCAGCATTATAGTGGTGTTTCACAACGAAGCCGACTCTGTGCTGAAGAGGACCCTGCATAGTATTCTAGACAACACACCTTCATCCCTTCTACAGGAGGTTCTGCTAGTAGACGACTTTAGCAATAATGGTAAGAATCTTCAAAAGCCACTATGTGCCGTCATTCTCATCTTACGTAATATCGATAGTTTCCAGTTATATTTTTTTATTTGCAAATCATGCCGAAGGCTTATTGCTCTTACAGTAAAAAATGCTATTTGGTACAATACAATAATAGAAGACAGATAACTACTGTCTGGGAAAAACTTATAACTACTACTACTACTACGCTAGCTATTATGAGGTTTAACTTCTTCTCTGAGGCAATGGATGACGAAAATATGGTCAAGATTCGATTGTTTGCATAATGTGTAATTAACTTAATTGCGTTGCGAAAGTGATTATGCTGTCCCAAACGTGACTAAGTTCATATTTCCCTTCGTGTTTGTTTTTTTCTCCTTTCCTGTGTATTTTTTTTTTGTCGATATTTAGATACTGTTCTAAATTGTAGGTCAGTTTGAATAGTCTATAGGTCCTCACATATAAAACTACCTTCGTTATCAGTGTATTTTTCTTCTATAAAGATGATCTTAAACAGGATTTGGAGGACTATGTCTCGCGACTACCCAGGATAAGGCTGGTGCGGAACAGGCGGCGGGAGGGCCTGACACGTGCGCGGATCCGGGCCGCCAACCTGGCGTCTGGCGACGTGCTGGTGTTCCTGGACTCTCACGTGGAGTGTAACACCAGGTGGCTGGAACCTCTCGTCGACAGAATAGCCAGGGACACAAAAACAGGTCAGTGCTGGTGAACCAAGGCAATCATAGACTTCTTACATGGCGTCATCCTTATAATATACCACTCGAAGCTTCATTTCTGCAACACCGACTTAATTTTATGGATGACATCCTCTGAAGACCCCCAACTAGTGCGTGCAAGCGAAAAAAAAAATCCGGTCCAAAAAAATGCTCCTTAAAACCAAAGAAATACAAAGCTGGTGTTGTGAATTAGCGGCAGTACATAGGATAGCGACGTATGCGACAAGCCGGGACTGCTGCCTCTTTGCGGAATTTATAGCTTTAGCTATTTATTTTATTTCTTTTTATTCAAAAAACAATTTCAGTCAAAACCGTATCACTACTCTCCAAGCAGAGGTTTGGGTTTGGGGTTATTTTCAGCTTGTTTTTAGATTTTTGTTATCTCTTTTTCACTGGATTTTTTTTCCCACCAAACCCGACAAATCCAGTGCAAAAGAGAAACCCCGATAAAAAAAGTTTAACAACAAACTAAAAAATAACGGTTGTATCAAGCATATCGCATTATTTCGCTACAAAAAGATAGACATGAATCCTTCTCTAGTAAATTAATGAGATAGAGAGTCGCTATCTTATCAATTTACTAGACAGATAAGAAAAATCTCCTTCTAGTAAATCAATGAGATAAAGGGTCGCTATCTCATTAATTCACTATAGATAGAAAACAAAATTCTCCTTGTAATGAATTAATGAGATAGACGGTCGCTATCTCATTGATTCACTAGATAGACTAGAAATTCCTGTTTAAGTAAATGTGATTGTCTTTGTGGTTCTCGTTTTAGTTCTCATTTGTTTTTGTGACTATATGATCTGCCCAAACACACCGTTACTATTTGGGTAATCAAATGTACATACGATTGACCTTTGACACAACATTGCGCGAGCTATTAAAAATGGCCGCTGGACTCAGACTCAGACGGTGAGTGTTTATCGTCTCAAACCTCGTCAAACCATCACCGAAGAAACCGTTTCACTCAAGGTAGGGATCGGTTACGTAACCGTAAACAAAAATCCATGTCCGTAGTACATGCACCGAAAACGATATCAGCAACGCACAAGGTCATCAGCCCCCCTCCCCCATCTTCCGAATTCCCTGCCGTCTCACACTGGTGTTTAAATGTTACATTGCCGAGCAAAATTCTTTCTAGCCTTATTAGTATTAGTGGCCCCAGGATGAGCAATGTCTTGTTCAAAGTTCTTACTACCAGTAGACTGAGTCAGCAAACACAGAAGGACAGGAATAAACTTTGCCCTTCATAAGTTTGTACCGAGGAGAAGACCGTCCGTGGTCCGCGGCGGGCGGATGAATCCTTTGAATGCGCCACGGGGGTGCATCGCCCCGCCTTATATGGAGTTGTGGATTACGTCATCAAGGCTCATCCAATGAGAGCTCAGTATGAATAGTTATTTCGACATTTCCCGCCTGCTGTTGATAAAGGTCAAAGGTCGCAATGTTCCCTAGACCGAATAAAAACACATTAATTTCTGGAACCTATAATGTAAATCATCTTTCTTGTTCAGGTTCACCATTAATAAGTTACACTAGGCTCCTTGTGACATCAGAAAACATGCTTTAAATTGTTACAAATTAAACAGTAGATAATTCTCACCTTACAACAAGAGCTCTCCTGAATATCTTAGGATATATTACATATTATATGAACCATATGTATGAAGTGGTATTTGATAAATGCAGCATAATTTTCAATTGTTGGTGTGAAGAATGCTCTACCTGAATTTTTAGCACTTTTGGTATGTAAGGATGTTAGGAAATGTACTTTTGTAATTTATTCCAAAAACATAAACACCTCTAACAGCATGTAACATCATATTGTACATAACAGAACACTATTTAAAGCATCTGGTGCATATATTGAAAATATACATCTTTCTCAACATATTCCAGAATTTGATACCATCGATATGAATTTTCAAAAATTTTTACTTAGAGTTAATACAAAAGCATCAAATGATGACGTTCGTGGAGAACTAGGAACCTTTCCAATAATAATAGATACTGAAATACAATTAATAAAATACTGGCATCGTTTTGTAAACTTGCCCAAATACACCTTACTTCGTGAAGCATACGATGTTTTATATGCTGGTAAACACGACATTCTGAATTACAATGGTCTTGGACAATTTTGGACGAACCCCGGGTCATACCAAGTGGATACGATAGCCAATCAATTACGATCCCGCCTTCAAGATATATACATACAAAAATGGTATAATTCTATTAGTAACAACGCAAAACTTTCCATTTATACCACATTAAAGGAAAATTATGGACAAAAATAATACTTCTCAAATATACACAATCTAGATATCCGAAAAGCGATCACAAAATTAAGAATTAGTTGTCATAAATTAAACATAGAAATTGGTCGATACATGAAAATACCAAATGACCAAAGGTTCTGTCCATTTTGTCCAAACATGATTGAAAATGAGCACCATTTTATAATGGATTGTACACTATACAATGATGACCACCTATTGCTGTTCACCTTTCTTTCCGCTTGTTCAATTGATTTCAATACGTTAGATCCTATAGATAAATCCAAGTACATTCTCAGGGCAGATAACCAATACAGTGTTTAAATAGGAAAATACATCAAAGAATGTTATAGACCACATGTTAGAGAATAGTTAACCTTTATTGTTACATCATACATATACTCTGTACGTAAGATGACGTTATCCACACATGCATTTAGGTTTCAATCTTTAGTTGTAGAAGACCATACAAAAGTCCCTGTACTGTTTTGTTGTGTCAATTAAGAATCTATATAAAACTTATCTAACTAACTAGTGAATATGATGCTAACTTAAAGAATCATACTGTTAAAACAATATTGATGATGAAATAGTGTTCAGCAATTCTTAGAATATACTTAATCGACTCTTTGCTACATATTTGATAACTCTGGTAAAATCTTTTTTCCTTGAGTATTACCTGTCCAACATAGGTATGATGAAGTTCTGCCTTCTATATAGACCTGGTCCATTTTCAGACTTCCTTGCATCATGTTGTCTGAGGCAGAACGGATTACTAAGTATTTACAACATTATTTACAATTTTGGACAGTGCCATCATTCACAGTCCCTAGACTGCCATAGTGGGCCTCAGGTATTTAATGAGTAGGTTACTTGTATTCCCTCTTGTTCTAATCAGTGTGTAATGTAATCAGTGTCTGTATGGAATGTGGGTGTGGGAGAGAAACCTAAAAAAACAGACCACAAACCTCAGTGTGATCTAAAGCACATAGACCAGTCTCTTCAAGCCTCAAAAACATGCGGCCGCAATGCATGGGGTTTGATCAGCAACTGGCTTAAACCCTGCAGAGAAGCAAAGCTTGTTTTTGAAAGCAATTACTTGTTTGTTATCTTTTTAATATCCACGTCATGTCCAGAAGATAAGCACTTTGTCTCTGTAGGTGGGCAGTTATAAAGACATGCTCCTAGTTCCATTTCAGTACCGCAATCAGACTCTCATTATTCCTCTCGATCTTCAGCGCAGGCCGAACGCCTGTCTTCAGCTTGATTTTCTTCAGCATCGACGAAGGTTTTCATGGGTATCTCAGTAGCAACGTCAGTGCCGCTTGCTGTAGCCCCAACTCCACCTGCGAGGGTCTGCAAGTTGCCTTCAGTGTCATCAGTTTCCCCTGCGGTGGTAGGCTGGTTGCTGGCAGTTGCGTTCCGCCCCTTGTCCTGACGATGCTTGCCCATACGGTGGCGTGTCCTGTTCTCCTCTACATCGGCCATGATTGTCATCTCTATAGCAGAGCCGGTTCCACCTGCTGTTGTCACCTCAGTTCTCCTGGTCCGCCGGTTGCTGGTAGTGGTGGTCCCTTCATTGTCCTGGTCAGCTTCAATCAGACCCAGGCGCACCATGATCGCAAACTTCCATCTCTTCAACACCTCCCCCGTCATTGTCAGAAACAGGGTCAGCAGCAGGCCTTGAGAAGCATTCAGCACAATAAAGATGTAGTCAAAAACTGTGCTCTTGACGAAAGGAACAATGAATCCCAAAATCCAGGTGAACCCCGCCAGAAACGAGATACGTATGTAGACCCAGATCTTACTGATCTCCGAGCGGGGCAAAGCAGTGCTAGCTATCTTAAAGGACTTCCGTATGGCCAGCAACACAAGAGTGGTGAAGACAAAATTGACCAAAAGGGCACAGAGGACAGGAACTCCAAATGCCACCAGGCTGGCTGTTGGATTGCCGATCCAACACTGCTCTCCGTAACCCACCCTGACAGAACTGCCGAAGTCCACAATCACCGTGACAAGGACTACAGGCACGGGCACCAGCCAGGTGTACAAGATGTACTTGTACAGTTCGGCTCTTTCTGAATCCTCACGAAATGTAAGGAAGATATCTACAGCTAACACGTTCATGGATGTGAAGGCCGTCAGAATGAAGTAGTGCAGAAGTATTGCATAAACTGTACAGCCTGGTCCGGGAGAGAGGAACACACGTCCCACAAACTGGGTTACGGCAACTGCCATGCATGTCATCATCTGTACCTTCAGCTTTTCCGGGACTTTTTTCCACTGGCCTGACCTGTAAGTGTGGGCCACAAAACCAGACACGGCTATGTCAGACACTACCACAAGACCCAGGGTTAACCAGTGCTGGACAGGGTCCGAGGTTTGGAGCGTGTCGTTCGAAAAATACTCCAGTAGGCAGTCCCCACAGACTGATGCCTCTGTGTTCAGGATGACCACCTGCTCAGCTGGGCATGTCATGTTAGAACTCAACAGGCGGATACTGCCATTGGGAAGGATTTCGAACTCATCGGATGTGAAATTCAGAATGGGTCTGCTGCAGTTTTGGAGAGGGATAGTTTTGTTCGAAGAGACGTTACTTAAGGACGAGAGAGATCGACACGAGTCTACAAATGGGTCGTATATAGAGTCTGGGGGGCAATGCTGAGGGCTGTTTTCGCGACTCTCATCTGCGTTAAAGTTAAACAGATGAGTC